GAGATCAAAAGCCACAGTTAAGCTCAGACCCATACATGGCCGAACAGTCTGGAGTAAATTGGAGGGGGTGGGTTGGCCCGTGCCTGCCCAAGCAGAGTCCCCGGCAGCCACTTGCTTCCACAATCCAAAATTGCCATCACACCCCAAGCCTGACTCCACTGTCTCAGGATGGACCTCACCAAGATATAATCTGCTGAAAATTTTGTAATGTGGATCTTAGCGCACCAACAGCCCTGACCCAGAGACACAGCAGCAAGTCCCAGAAGAAACCACAGTTCCGGAGATCTCTCCAGGCCCCATATCAAGCTAATATCACCGGGACATCCCAGATGGAGCAGGTGCAGTCTCCCCGCCTACTCCAGATGGAATCCCGGTGACCAAGAGCTTCCACAAGCAAGACCCAGGTATGCGGGTTCCAGAATTACATCTCCAGGCTGCATGGTGGCAGAGGACCTGGTCTGTCCCTCCCTGGGTCCCCGCTCACCCAGAAGACTGGCTGTCACGCCCACAATTTGCCTCTGGATAGCATCTTAGCACACCAACAGCCCTGGCCCAGAGACTCCAAATTGAATCCCAAAATGGATTAGTGCCATACAGAGATGTCTCTGGAACCCAACCATTTACAACCTAGAAATTTACCATTGCACCTGTGTGAGTTCTTGTGATATTCGAAATGAGCTATGGAAAATATATTATCTATTGTTTGCCCCTGACAGGTGGGCTTGAATGGTGGTGGGAAAATTCAAGCAAAATTAATGCCCCAAATTAGAGAGAGAGTATTGGGGAAATTGTCTGCCATTGAGGCAAGGTGAGGACTGCAATGTGTATGTGTGTGTGTGTGGGGGGGGGGGGGATACTTGGGACACTGATGGTGGAAAATGTGCATTGGTGGAGGGATGGGTGTTTCATCATTGTGTGGCTGAATCTCAAACATGAAAGCTTTGTAATTCTATCTCACGGTGATACAATAAAATAAAAAAGTAATGTGGTGTTCTTGCCCAATTCTACCAGCTTAATCAATGGCTGAACAAATAGCAGTACTCCTACATTATTTAAAAAAAATAAATGTCCAGCACTACAAAAATAGTAAAAATCAAAAAAACAACACCTAGTAGAAACTATTATGGTTGGGCTGGGGTTGTGGCTCAGCGGCAGGGCCCTTACCTGCATGCATGAGACCTGGGCTCAATCCCAGGCACTGCAAAACAGAAACAAATTGATACTTACATTAATAGGGAACCCGAATGTGGCTCAGTGGCAGAATATCTCAACCCTGGGAGTGCGAAGCTGTCAATCTCATCCTGAGCTGACCCCATAGTCCCTGTGGCTGTGCCATCTGAGACTCCTGGCACTACCAGTTGTGTCCAATCTCTGGTGCAGAGCCCGGTGGGGACGAGCACAGCAACGAAGGGATGCTGCCTCCAGTATGCATCATGCCCCAAAGTGTGACTCCCCAATGAGCACAGGTGTGAGTCTACAGGAACTCTAGCAAGCACTGGCACCAAGAATGTTAGTAACACACAAGTGTGACCTCCCAGTCAATGGCAACAACAAAGGGAAGTGGTGGGGGAGGGAATCTTATAAAGCCATTTCAATCACGGGTCTGTTTCTTTAGAAAGGGTAACTGAAAGGACCATTGGCAAGGCAGAGGCTAAGTCCTGGGCTCTGACAACACTAATCCTGTACACAGGTCCAGCTAAGCCTACACTCCATGTCCGCTGGGGTCTAACAAACAAGAGTCTTCTGTATCAGTATCTTGACTGCCTCGTGGGTACAGAGGGCTCTTTGTGCGAGTTAGTGATGCTGTTCAAGGCTGGACTGGGAAAATATTGATTTTCAAAGTTTCCTTCACAATTTCCTTTCAATATAGCTGGAGACGGGAGATGGGTAAGATAAATGGGTCTCTGTGACAGAGAGACAAGCAGGAAAGTAAGGGATCCACAGATGGTCAGAGTTTAAGCAGGAACCCTTTAGTGGGAACTAGTTTTTAAGCAAATTAAATTTCCTGGCAGTGCACAAAGATGTCATTCAAGCATTGGAATCATACCTTGGACTTACTGGCAAGATCACTGAGGCTTTACCAGACTCTTAGATGGAGATTTTGAGGCTAAAAGTGCAGACACTGAGACTAGTTTCTTCAAGTAAGAAATGGTTGTCTATTTTATTTTTAAGGGTGATTATGCCAGGGCAATTGAGAAATGTGTTGTCTGCTAATGAACAGTTCACTTTACTGTGGGTGTTTGAGGAATTTAAGATATCAGAGTGCTTTCAGGAGAAAAATATTTTTTTAGATCTTGAGGCTAATGATAAATAAAAGCATTTTCCCTATTCTAATAAAAAATCAATCAATTAGTAGAATGGTATTAAATAAAGAAAGCTAGGGAAATAGAGTAGACCTAAGAAAGACCAAATCTTTAGCGACACTTAACTACAAAATCTAGAAATGATTCAGGTGGAAGCACTGTAGCACTGTCTTCCTGTTGTTCATCCATTTGCTCGAGCGGGCCCAGTAATGTCTCCATTTTGAGACTTGCTGTTACTGTGTTTGGCTTATCGAATACATCATGGGTAGCTTGCCAGGCTTTGCCGTGCGGGCGGGATACTCTCAGTAGCTTGCCGGGTTCTCCGAGAGGGACGGAGGAATTGAAGCCGAGTCAGCTCCGTGCAAGGCAAATGCCCTACTCGCTGTGCTAAAATCTTGAAAAGTTCTTTGCTTGCCTGATCTTAAAACAAGTCATAAGAAGTTGATTCTACTAAGAACATGCTCATTTTGTTTGTCTGTTGCTTACACCTGGCTGTGCTCAGAGCTTACTCCTGGCTCTGTGCTCAAGGGTACTCATAGCAGTACTCCAGGGACTAGGATAGGACCTATGTGCAAGACAAGCAAGCACCTTACCCACTGTAATATCTTTCCAGCCCCATAAACACATGAGTTTAATGAGGTGGGGAGGGCAGACACCAGATATTGAACCCAGGATGTCACTTATGTAAGACGTGCACTCTTCCACGAGGCATTTCTGGCCTCAGATAGCTTTTTATTTTGGGAGATGTTTGGGCCACACCCAGCAAAATCCCTCTTGGTGGTGTTCAGGGGACTATGTGGTATGAAGGACTGAGCTGGGATTGACTGAATGCAAGGTAAGCACCTTAACTCCTGTACCATCTCTTCAGCCCGCCCAATGTGGCTTTGTTCCAGTCATTGAAAAGCGTTTAAAATTGGGGTTTGGGCAATACCTGGTGGTGCTTAGGGCTTACTCCTGGCTCTGTGCTCAGCGATCACTCCTGGTGGGGCTCAGGAAATTTTATGGGTGCTGGGCATGGAACTCGTGTTGGCTAAGTGCAATGCAAGTGCCCTACCTGATGTACTATCTCTTCAGCCCTCATGAAAACATTTTGGTGCCTAACTCTGTGTGAGGTGATGGGTATGAAAAAAGATTTATTCTAGTCTCAAGAAACTTATCCTGGTAGGAAAATATAAAAATAGCAGAGGCCAGCGAGATAGCTCAAGTGATAATGCACATGCTTAGCATGTTCCAGGGCCTGCCCAGCTCTACATGTCCCCACCTTCTTCCTGGGTATGCCAGAGTGGCACTGGAGCACAGCCAGGCCTGAGCGCCACTGGACTGGGTTTGGACCGAAGCATGATGTGTTGTATCTGGGGGTCACTGTCTCTATTGTAGAAGGAATAGTAGTACTATCTAAACACAAAGCTTTAGAGAGGGTAGATGAAAGGAAGAAGACTACTGTTGGCCTTTTTGTCCTTATGGAGGAAACAAACAAACAAAAAGGTTCCCTGGAGGAAGCTGCATTTGCCTTTAACCAGAGATGAGAGGAGATTCTGCAGGACAAAAAAAGGGCTGGGAGCTGGAACAGGAAACAAGGCCGTTCTGAGAGATGACCTCTGGGGTCTTAAGCTCCCAGCAGGCACTACAGGCCTGGCAAGTGTTCCTTCTTTCTAGAGTCCTGAGTAGTGTGACTATGACCACCTACATTTGACCAATGGCAGCAGTTTGATCTTCCCAAAGCAAAGGCTCAGGTAGGTAATCAATTCTCAGAAACATCCCTGACTTCGGATGAAGTCTCTCTTGGCAGGAAGGGAGCGTTCATTCATAGAAGTAATTATTTATGAGTCACATGTCAGGCTGTCAAGCTCCAGGCAATTCCAGTCCGCCCCACAACTCCTCTCGCCTCTTCTGGTGGGTCTGCAGAGCCACTCCAAGCAGAAGATGCTAAAGCACAAGGCCGCGGTGCAGGAAAGCCCAAAGCTGAGCCTTGATGTCCCCTCCTTTTCGACCCCCCGAACCCCTTCATCTGCAAAACCCTGGAGGTCACGCATGGGGGTGGAGATGTGGGTGTTCAGGGCTGTTAAGAGGCCGAGCATATTACAGTGGAAAGCTGAACTCGGGAACTCAATTGCCTTTCACTAGGCCGCCCAGGCTGAACTGCAAGGTCGCTTTGCAGAATCTGGGTTCCTCCGAATTTCCCCTCACCTCAGTCGGGGGCAACTGTCCTTCAGCCTGACATGGCTCTGCCACCCTGACCGGTTTGTCCCCGGGAATCTCCTCCTCCTGCACAATAGCCGCCTGTGTGTACCTGGGAGCGCTTCCTCCTGGCCGGGCGCACGGCGGAGCTACCGGTTGGGGCCTGGGGCTGCAATGCGCGCGTGCCCCTGCGTTATTTACCTTCCTAACAATCCCATCCTCCTCCTCTTCCCTTATCTTGACGTCACTCCCGGAGGGTCACCGCGTTTCTTCCTGCCCCGCGGCGGGGCGACTCCCCCGGCTCGCCCAGGGGGCCGGGCAGCTCCGGGAACCCGAGGCGGATGCGGCCGCGGGCCGGTGCCACGTCTCCGCCGCCAGCAGGCCAGTGCCTGCGTGGGCTCGGGGGCGCGGCAGGGCGGGGAGGCGCGCGGAGGCGGGCTCTGCGCCTGAGCGGCACCCAGGCGGACCAATGGGAGCGGCGCACGGCGGCGGCGGCGGCGCGGTGCGGGCCGGGGGGCGGGGCCCGGAGGCAGTTGCAGGCATAGCCCGGGCGGCCGAGCGGGCAGTGGTTGCTGTGGCTGTCGCATCCCCGAGGGAGCCGTCTCGGCGCACCCCCCGGACCCCCCAAGCCAGCAGGTCGTCCCGCAGGCGGCTGTGCGTGCTCCCGACCTCGCCCGCTGCTCTCCGCTCGCGCAGCGGACCGTGCCTCCTGCATCATGTGCGGTAAGGGGGCCACGGGCCGGGGGGCGTGTTGCGGGGCGGTGCTGGGGTGCGGGGCGCGAGCGGCCGAGGCTCGGGGGTTGCGGAATCTGGCTGATGGGGTTGGGGGCGGCTCGCGGGGGGCCGAGGCCCGGGAATGCGCCGGTGGCCGGGAGCCGGGGCCGGCCTCAGAGAGATGCAAGGAGGGTGGGCGACCCAGGAGGGCACCTGGGCGTGCGCGTGGACCAAGGGAGGATCTGGAGGATCGAGGGGGCCGGCTCTGTGCCGAGCAGGGAACCAAGAGGCAAGAGACATAAATGCCCGTGTTGGAAACAGAGCGAGGGCTCGGGGAAGTGGGGTGTGCAGGGGGTGCCCACCCCGAGTCCACCGGACTGTGAGACAACCTGTGGAATATAAGGGGAGACCCCTGGAACTTACCTCGGATTCTCCTTTGTTGTTTGTTGTTGTTGTTTGAGGGCCTCACCTGGCGGTGCTCAGGGCTTACTCCAGGCACTGTGCTCAGGGATCGCTCCTGGCAGTGCTCTGGGGACCTTATTTGTTGCCGGGGATCGAACCCAGGTCAGCTGTCTGCAATACTAGTGCCCTACCCGCTGCACCATTCCTCCTGTCGGACTCTTCTTTTTAAGAAATATTTTTTTTCTTAGTCGCATTTTTTTCCCTTCAATCAGGCCCTATAGAAAACCACCAATGGTAGCGCTTCGGCAGAGGCATTACACAGGATCATACTTACAGTCAGACCCCTGTCCCCCTCCACCCCTGGGCCCCTATAATGGGGCCTGACGTGACGATTAGGCCGAGCCTAGATCCTCTGATGGAAGAGGCCCAGAAGTGACCATGAGGATGGACAGACAGCGCATCCTTTCTTGCACGTGCGCTCTGGTAACATTAGCTATGAGAGATTGGTCTCTATCTCATCAAAGATAATCCTAGACCAATTAACGTTAACCCAAAAGTCATTATTTTCTTTTATGTTATGAGACTTGGTCTTCTCCGTATTACTTAAAAATGTTGGTACTGAAGAGATAGTACAGCAGGTAGGGCATTTGCCTTATGTGCAGTGGACTGGGGTTCAATCCACATGTGGTCCCCTGAATCCGCTAGGAGTGATCCCTGAGTGTACAGACTAGAGTAAGCCTTCAGCCCAGCCAAATGTGACCCCCCAACACCAGAAAAGGTAAAAGGGATCATCACCCCTGCTCCAGAGCTGATATTAACTTGTCCATTGTCAATAAAAAGAATTTACTTTTTACCTCATTGAAATGTTTTAATGACCTTACCTCTAGAAGAAAATAAATTCCAAAATAATGATAGTATTGAAGCTGTTTGAGAGACTTTGTATTTTTTTTTGTGTGTGAGAAGATCCAGCAAGAGGTGGGTTGTACTCATTAGTGCATATTTTCCCTGTATTTAACTTTATGCTAATTTCAGTTTTTGAAAATGAGGAGCTGGTTTAAATTTAGAGTAGATTAGAAAACACACACAAAAACAGAAACACCTATAAATAGCTTGCTGAAATTATTAGAGTGGAGCTGACTTTAGAATCAGTTATGCTTTTGCTATGTCTGGTGAGTAGAACGCTTTTGGAGAACACAGAGCTGCCTTTGGATTGTGTGTTAGTGAATTTGCAAACTGGTTAATCCCTAGTGTGCCACCTGTGGTAATTAACTGTTCTTGACCAATGAGGTGTGGGCCTATTCAAATGCGTGACATTTTGGTTGCTGGTCATTTCTTCATCCTGTTCCAGGAAAAAGGGGAGTCAACGTTTATACAAGGAAAAAAGTGAGACCTGGTTTCAGAAAGGTTCATATAAGGGTGGGGACTCTTAGGGTGGGGACTGCAGGGAGTTCCGCACAGCCAACATCCCCGTTCCATGTTTTATTGCTTAGGAAACAGATGATAAAGAATAAATGAAGAGCTGGTGTCTAGGGTATTTCTGATTGCATTTAAATCAGATCAGAGTTGTAGATAACCAGGAATAGGGTGCAGCATTTATTATCTCTTAATGAAAACTCCGAATGCTAATGAGACTCAGGAAGAGTTTGTCTTCTTTTTCATGACAGATTAAGGTTTACACCTTATATTTGCGATAGCACAGCGGTAGGGCGTTCGCCTTACAAGCGGCCAACATGGCCGACCCGAGTTCGATTCCTCCGCCCCTCTTGGAGAGCCCGGCAAGCTACCGAGAGTATTTGATATGCCAGACACAGTAACAACAAAGTCTCCAATGGAGACGTTACTGGGCCCGCCCGAGCAAATCAACGATCAACGGGAGGGCCTTTACCTTTACCTTTACCTTATATTTAGCTTTTGTTTTTTTCTTTCCTTTTTTTTCTTTTTCTTTTTTCTTTTTTGGGCCACCTGGTAGTACTCAGGACTTAACTTCTGACTTAAGAGATCACTCCTAGCAGTGCTTGGGGAACCATATATGAAGCTGGGGTGAAGATTAACCAATGCAAGACAAACATTTAACCTTCCTGCCCGCATAGCAGAGCCTGGCAAGCTCCCCATGATGTATTCGATATGTCCAAAACAGTAACAATAAGTCTCACGATGGAGATGTTACTGGTACTCGCTCCAGCAAATCGATGAACAACGGGAGGACAGTGCTACAATGCAGTACTACTAGACTTCTAGTTAAGTTTAAAAAATATTTCCCCCCTCCTATTTTTTTTTGTTACTGTTATGCACACACTTGGCTGTGGTACTTGCTAAGTGCTTCGTACTTGGTTTCGTGGCTTTCACATGTGCTTCCAAGAGTTTTACTCTCTCCTTATGCTCCTGGAGGTGCACGCTTGCTTGTTGTGCTCACATACCTTATTGTGATTTGTGGGTTTTCTCACCCACTTGGGGCCATGGGGGCATGAAGTTGGGGTCCCAAACAGCATGGTTTCTGGGATTGTTCAGGAAGCATGTGGGACGGAGCTTGGAATCAAATTTGAGACTTCACCCTTACAGTTAGGCATTTTTTGCCACTGAGCTATTACAGCATCCAGGTTTGTCTTTATTTTCCTCCCACACTTTTTTTTTCAGGAGACTATCCACATACAGAGATGCTGGGTGGGATGGCTCCTCTCTGGGCTCTGTGCTGGGGTCACGCAAGCCGGTGTCCAGGGAACACATAGTTTGAATCAGGGTCTACTAGGGTCGGCTATATGGTAGGGAAGTGCTATAGCCCTGTACTTCTGTCCTCTGCCACATCTTAATTGTTTTTTTTTTTTTTTTTTTTTTTTTTTGCTTTTTGGGTCACACCTGGCGATGCACAGGGGTTACTCCCGGCTTTCACTCAGGAATTACCCCTGGCGGTGCTCAGGGGACCATATGGGATGCTGGGAATTGAACCCTGGTTGGCCGCGTGCAAGGCAAACGCCCTACCCGCCGTGCTATCATTCCAGCCTTGCCACATCTTAATTGTTAAAATAAAATGTTTGTTAGTACAGTGGTTAGGGCACTTACTTTGCGTGCAGCAGACTTGGGTTCTATCCCTAGTACCCCACATATGCCTCTGAACCCCAACAGGAATAACCCCTGACACAAAGCCAGGAGCAATGCCCTGAGCAATGCCAGGTGTTGTCCAAAATTCAACAACAAAAAAGGAAAGTAAAATAAAATTTTTGTTAGAGGATTGAATGGAAATCAGATTAGATAGGAAATGAGTTTCACTTTAGGATTTTCTGCTGCCTATTCAGATTTTTATAAAAGATTATTTTGTTTCAATTTCATAAAATCCTGAAGAAGAAAAATGAGGGCTGATCATTCTGGGGTATGCTTTTTTCCAATCATATGTGCCAACAATATAAGTTTATGAAATTGTGTTGGTCTGTTAATAAAGGTTAACAATGATAAAAGTATTCAAGTAAATTTAAAAAAAAACAGGTTAAACAGTATTGAGTTCACTTTGTAAATTTGAAAGACTCCTTGGAATCTTTAATATGCATTGTGATTCTCACAGAGAAGAATCATGGTGTCTTCCAAATTTATCTTACTTTTGATTATTTGAAATTCATTGTTCTTTTATATTTGTATTATCTCTGGTTTTGGTGAGTGTCAGGTCACTTGAGTTAGTTAGTCACAGCTTTTTTTTTTTTTATATACACAGCTTTTAACAGACTTTTCCCCTATACCCTATACCTTTCTGGTCTGATAGTGCATTCATATGAACTTTATGAAGATGAAGTCATATTTGAGATCACTAAGGACCTTTCAGTTTAAAATGATCTTGAAAAGGATCCTTAAAATTAACTTTAGAATGACTCCTGGCTGTCCAGACAGATCACAAAGCACATCCTTAGAAATCCGTACCTAATATGAAGTAGTTGTGAAAGAAAAGGATTGCCTAATAAGCATTTCCTCAGTTGTGTTCCGTGGAAAGTGAGAAGCTAGTGGGTGCTGGTAATTAGTAGGGAAGATGGGCCAAGACTTTTTATAGCACAGGTTTGAGAACTTTAGCTTTTGAAGATTTAAAATTTGAGGCAGTTCCATAAGTATATGCATCAACTTTGTTTAGCCTGGTATTTCTTGTTTCTCTTTTGCTCTTTGGGTAGTGGTCTGGGTTACTCCTGGGCTCACTTCTTGTGGTGCTCAGTGATCATATAGTGCTGGAATCAAATCCAGGGCTCCTGTAGTCAAAGTTCACAGTTAGCCTGTTGAGCTCTCTTCCCCAACCCTTAACCCAATGCTTCTTCTTTTTTTTTTTTTTTTTTGCAAGTGGCGCACACCTGGTGGTCATTGGGGCTTACTGCTGGCCCCTGGGCTCAGCAGTCACTCCTGGAAGGGTGGGTTCAGGGAATTGGACTGGGTTGGGCGAGTGGTGACAGTGATTGAACCTGACTTGGGTGTGTTCAAGATAAATGTCTTACCTGCTGTAATTTCTGGCCCTTTCTATTCTTTTTTTTTTAATATATGCAATACTAATGGAAAAGTTTATTGTTAAAACTGGATAATTAAAATTAAATTTTTTTTATAAAGTTATTCACAATAATTGTTTACATTCAGTATTTCAACAC